ATTTTATAAAAATCAAATTTTCAAAACTATTAACAAAAAAGTTAATTATGTTTTTCTATAATGAAAAATATAATTAACTTTCAAAACTATTGATTAACATTAACATGAGTAACACTTTGAATTATGTAATCTGCAACTTATATAAATTTGCATTTATGTAAATGTATGTAAATCACAAAAATTAATAAAAATTCTGAGAATTACTTGCAGGCATGAAAGCTTAATGGGGACTAGTGTACCAGTAAGCTTTCATGCCTGCAACTAGCTACTAATAGCAAGTAATGCCCAGTACTAATTTGTACGAATACATCTGTGGCTTGGTGTAGTTGTACACAGACACTTTTTATGAAGACAGTGACTACTTCAGTATGTGTTTATATATATATATATTGAAGTTTCTTATGAAAACACTGAAGTAGTCACTGTCTTCATAAGAAACTTGAATGTTAATAGTAGAAGAAAACTTTATTGTTTTTAATGGTAATAAGAGAGACATCGTGTGGCAGTATAAAAGTATGACAAAATACTTTTATAACTTATATCAGAGTAAATACTGCCACACAATGTCTCTCTTATTACCATTAAAAACAATAAAGTTTTCTTCTATTATTAACATTCAAGTTTCTTATGAAATTACATCTAAGTAATATAAAAATTTATTTTGTGCAAACTTATGTTTTTGGTTCCATAACCTAACTCTAACTGTTACATAAGTCAGGTGATTACGGCACAAAGATTAATACCTTTATTTTTAACAAAATAGAAATTCGTAAAGAAAAATTTTAAATGTACAAAATTTTTCTTTTCATAAGTGAAATATATAATCTAGTAATAAAATACGAAGATATTTTTTAAAATTAAACACTTCGACTGAATTAAAAATCAATACATCGAATTAATAAAAAATATTACATCAAGATTATTAAAATCTATCTAAAGATTATTAGGCATTAATTAATATTATAATCAAACAAAGTTCAAACAACATTACTAGTACATTCAACAATTACATTAGCAAACAGCTTTAGCCCTACATTTATATTATAATTTATAAATGAAAAAAAAGAAAATGCATCAAGATTATTACAAATAAAATTATTAATTTTACAATCTGCATATTAAATACTGTCTAAATTTTTATTGTGCTGCAACTTGAAAAATTCGTAGACTTATAAATTCCCACTGTTGTCAGTCCATCTGTCCCTCCTTAATCTCGAGAACTGAGTTAGATAGATGACATCAGATATGGAAACCTTAGGAGCAGGTGGCCTCAATTAACTGTATACAAACTTCCAGTATAAACCAGAAGTCACATTAGTTCAACTCAAACATTTTTCTCCGAAAAGTGTTAGGTAGATGACTGGTATGACTATTGTTAGAGGAAAAGTATGATGCACAGAGGCAAGCCACTACTAATTTGAGGTGGAGAGCATATATTTTAAATTAAATTAATAAAAGTATGATTAAAAATATCAGCTCAGCATTGTTACGATGTCACAATAAATATTTGCTTATTTAAAATAAAAAAATTAGATACAATAAATAATATATATTAAAAAAAAATAAAATTTGACATTAAATCCAAAAACTTGAATTATTTTAATTGAAAGAAAATGATAAAAACAAATAAAAAGTTTTAAAAATATATAAGAACTTACTGTTACAAATTTTGTATTTATATCATCAAGATGAAAAGAACATGGCATTTCCTGTAACATTTGATCAAAAGTTGGATCTTCCTTACAATTAGTTAATCTTCTAATAGAATGAAATTTTATTTTATCAACTGAAGGAATAGGTACCGACTGAAGTAATTCCTTTGGAGGTTTTATCTAAAATATGAATTAAAAAAAAAGTAAGTTTTAAAAATATTTTCATTGAGAAACTTTTTAACTGTAGTTCAACATTCAAAAAATGTCTCCACATTATAAATAATTACAATGCATAGGAATTTTACAATGTTATGACAAGTTACTTTAGTTTATGTAAATAAGTAAATGTTTTATTTAGATTAAATGTTTTTCAAGATCAAATCTGCCTTGTCTTCAAATCTTTAACCACAAGAATAAATGTATTTGAATAGAGAACAAAATCAAATGTAACTATAAATAGCCTAGTACAAATGACAGTAATTCATTTACATTTCTTATTGTTCATTTTAGGATTTCATATTTTATTTTAATAACAAAATATAATAATTTTATGCATTTATGTTTTTGCTATATTTAGAACACTTCAAAGGTTACGACACATTTTAAATGGTCACTATTCAAATATATATATATGATGTAAACCATACGATGTACTTGAATTGAGAGAAAAATCAAACATCTCCTAAATATTTAATTTGTTTATTTTAAAATTAAAATACAGATACAGTAGAGCGTCGTTCATCATTTTGTTACTTTTTATATTAAATTTTGTCTATTTGCTGTCAAGTTTACCAAAATGAGTATTATTTGAGGGCCTGGGAATGAATTAATTCACTTTCCATTATTTCTAATGGAGAAAATTGATTAACTCTGAACATTGTTCAAATACAGTTCAAATACACANAATATAATAATTTTATGCATTTATGTTTTTGCTATATTTAGAACACTTCAAAGGTTATGACACATTTTAAATGGTCACTATTCAAATATATATATATGATGTAAACCATACGATGTACTTGAATTGAGAGAAAAATCAAACATCTATTTTTGTAGTAAAATATTTGAATATAAAACAAACTTGTTCTCAAAAATCATTTAATCACTCTGCAGCCAAAACTACACATCGCACATGAATGGTGTTTGTGTGTGGTAGTAGCCCCAAGTCTCCCATAGTGCACTATGGTGGTTGCGTCTCAATAGCTATAAGGGTGTGAGAGATATGGGGTTTGAAAGTGGTTGACTTCGAAAATGTGTAACGTTTCAATGAGAATGTTCCTGTTTTTTCTAGAAAGTTCCAGAACCTACAAATGAAATTTGGTACACAGAGTACGTCATAAAAATGCACACTAAGAAAGGATTTTTCGAAATTCCCCCGTAGGGGGGAAAGGGACAGCATTAAGGCTTAACCTGAAGAATGGCTTCTACTGTACTATTTTAGATGCGATTTTTTGTTTTTAACTGCGTTTTAGTACAGTAAGTCATGAAAATGCACACTAAGAAGGGATTTTTTTGATATTCCCCAGTGGGGAAGAGGGAAAGCATTAAAGTTTAATCTGAAGAAAGGCTTCTACTATATTATTTTAGATGCAATTTTTTCTTTTTTAATTATGTTTAGTCTTCATTAAGTACTTAGGAGTATAAATTGATAACATTTCAAACATTGTTATAAATATTTTCTATATATTTTGATTTTTTAACCAAATGTTCAAACTGTTTAAAATTCAAATTTCCTTTTGCATATTGGTTCGATTATAGAACAATTGTAAACGTTCCAGAAAATTTATCAAATTAAAAACAATTTGTTTGATTCTCAGAAATTCTCATCATTCTCAGCATCTTAAATAACAATTACTATGGTTGTTGAAATATTGAATGTAAAGAGGGTTTGCTTGCAAAATCTGCGCGAGTGAAGCCGCAGGTAACAGCTAGTTTCAAAATAAAAAATAACAACAGTGATATTTAATAAAGAATTTGAACTATCAAATTGACTTTATAATAAAAGACTATTGTAACAATTTTATAATAATATTTTTCAATTACTAACATCATTTCTTTTCTTTGCAGCTTGGAATAATTCTTCTTTAGCTTTCAAACCTCCTTCTCCTAAATTTTCTTGCTGCTTAGAAATTCTCAATTCTTCTTCTTTTATCAATTTTTCTTTTAATTCAGGACTAGGTTCTCCAATAACCTATAACAAAATTAAAATTCTTTTAATCATATTTAAATTTATTATATTTAAAATTTCTTCTCTAAAATAAGAGAAGTGAAATAAGGTTCACTATACAAATATTTTATATAAGATAGCAAATTAAATAATTTCTAATATATATTTTGAGAAGTAAGCAATAAAAGCTTGCCAAATGCCGAAACAATAACTTAAAAGATGTTTTTCATAACATCGGATATGAAGCTGTAAAGGCATTTTTATCCATTTATTAAACAACTTAAAATATGAATATGAAACTGTTCAATATTTAATTGAAGAACTATAGATTTCATAGTGTATTAATTTACTATCATAATATGGGTATGCATATTGTTAGTTTTTGGTATCACATCATCCCAGACTAAATCGTAAACAAATGCTGCAGTAAGTACAGGTATACCTCGCCTTATGTCGGTAATTGGTTCCAGGAGAGGCGACTTAAGTCGAAAAACGACACAAGTTGAATTTACTTGTCACTAGGCTAAACCACATAACCATTCCCAGTTCTGTATTTTATTTATAAATGCATTTTTAATAATATATGGTTAATAAGAATCTATTTTAAGCTTACAAACAAATAAATTTTAGTTTTTAATATAATGCAGAAAAAAGTAATCTAAATTTACGAATTCATGTACATACAGTACATACTTGTAAATGTACATGTTTATAATTTGGCGATGTTTACAGTACATCGCGGACTCTATTTGTGAATGTGGTTTGCTCTAAGACACTATAAAATAAGATGATTTTGTTAAATAACAAATACAATTATTAAAATTATCTTGCAACAGTAGAAAATAAACTAATTTATATTAAATTTACCAATATCGAGTGGTGCTGACAATGAAGCCAAATGATAGATATTGGAACTACTATGGAAAACACCAATATTGAAAATATATATAAATGGTTTGCTGTATATTAGTTAATATGACGATTTTAGTCTCTGTAATCCAAAAATATTCTTGGTAGACAAATCTCACAGCAATCTTATTGGCAAATTAAATTTATTTTGTAAAGACTACATCAAATGCATTTCGGGCTGGTCTAATATTTTCCAGTCCCTCTTCAGTGCTAAAACAATAACAAAGAACGTAAAATGTTTAACTAAAACACGACATAGATGTATATCTACACCAAAATTATAAATTTTGGAGAAAAACTTACAATAACCGCTGGTGGTAATTACAATGATATTTCCATGGGTAGGGGTGGTAAACTTTGCACACATTTGTAGGAATCCTAAAATTACAATTATCTTTTTTTGTACAAAACAATATAAGGCTAATACAAGTAATATCTTAAGTAAGTAAGTATAAGTACAAGTAAGTATAAGTAACAATACTTATACTTACAAGTTTAAGAAACCTTTCCACACACGTGTATAATAAACACACTAAAACCCTAATTATTAAAAAAATTCTTTGACAAACAATTGTATAGCTAATTCCAAAGCACTACAAATTTTTAACATCATTAGCATCAGTATACCATCAACACTTCACAACAGTAATCAAGTGATGACGTCTTAATACATAACCATTTATTTTATTCTAGCGCCATCCAGGCGTGTACTAGAAACTAGAGTTAAAGAACACGAAGCAGCCATTCGGCTTAAGTATAATAATTCTCCGTGGTTTAACCACATCAATAGTAATAATTGTAATATTAATAGAAACAATGTAAAAATTTTACATATTGAAAAAGATATTTATAAAAGAAAATTCAAAGAACATATAGAAATTAGAAAACAAAATAATAATAATTTAATAAATCAGTCGAAAGGGATGGAAATAAATTATAGCTGGTATAATCTGATAGATGGCGCTAGAATAAAATAAATGGTTATGTATTAAGACGTCATCACTTGATTACTGTTGTGAAGTGTTGATGGTATACTGATGCTAATGATGTTAAAAATTTGTAGTGCTTTGGAATTATCTATACAATTGTTTGTCAAAGAATTTTTTAATAATTGGTTGGTTTTAGTATGTTTATTATACACGTGTGTGGAAAAGTTTCTTAAACTTGTAAGTATAAGTATTGTTTAAGATATTATTTGTATTAGCCTTATATTGTTTTGTACAAAAAAAGATAATTGTAATTTTAGGATTCTTACAAATGTGTACAAAGTTTACCACCCCTACCCATGGAAATATCATTGTAATTACCACCAGCGGTTATTGTAAGTTTTTCTCCAAAATTTATAATTTTGGTGTAGATATACATCTATGTCGTGTTTTAGTTAAACATTTTACGTTCTTTGTTATTGTTTTAGCACTGAAGAGGGACTGGAAAATATTAGACCAGCCCGAAATGCATTTGATGTAGTCTTTACAAAATAAATTTAATTTGCCAATAAGATTGCTGTGAGATTTGTCTACCAAGAATATTTTTGGATTACAGAGACTAAAATCGTCATATTAACCAATATTGAACACTTAATTAAAGACCACTAAAATAAGATGACAACACAGTCACAGATGTTTTCATGTTTCGTTCTCTAGGATTTATGATGATTATATTAACATTTACTGTAAATGTACATATTTTAATATGATTTTATGTGCTTTAACACTTTTCTAGTGATATTACGACTTCAATATTTATGGCGGACAGACGTAAAGTCAAATAAAATGACTTAAACTTAATTTTTATTTTTCCATATATTTTTTTTTTTGACAAACGACATATAATCGAGAACGACATATAATCGAGAACGACATATAATCGAGAACGACATAACTCGAGGTATACCTGTAATTACAGATTGAAAAGCATTAATAAAGAAATTCTACTTGTGGTCTTGTAAGAGTTGGTGGACAAAAACAGCAAATTTGTGAAGAGATAATCCCATTGATTACATAATTATAAATAAATAATACATAAATTTGGTTTTAAGTTTTATTGTTTAATGGCTTATATTTTTATTTGTAATAGAATTTACAAAGAGGGGGTAATCACTCAAAATGTATTTACCAAATTAATAAAATTTTTAGCAAAAACAATTTGTCAGTCGTTTCATCTATCTAGAACCTGAACATTGGAGAAAAGAATAAAAGAAAGAATATTGCCAGATATAACTTTTATAAAAGGCAATTTACATTTGTACTTAAATATGATATAGATTTTATCTTTTAACAACAATTTTTTATTAATGTTTTAATATGTTCTGTTTGTGATGTGAAAATATAAAATAGATTTTGTCCAATTTATACTATCAATTGCAGTCTTAAAAAATTAAATAGTACAGACATTTAAAATGGCTCTTTATATACTAGAGCATTGATTATCGGAATGTCGATCAACCGAAAGCTTTCCAGCCGGCAAATTTAAATTTCAGCTAGTGCTGTGGCACTGCAATCTATGGCTATGTCTTGGGCTACTCCAATATTATTTTTGTTGGTGTGCATGTTTTAGCTGGCAGCACTGACATGACCACGAGAGGGTACTTAAGGACGCACCAGGATTTGAACGAATTTCAATATGGGATAGGATAGGTTAATATATTTTTTTGTACATAATCAGTTATCCGAACAATCAATTTTTTTCAAACAACCCCAGTCCCCAATTGATTCGGATAATCGATGCTCTATTGTATTTATATGATATTTTCAAGAGAATATTTGATTTTCTTACTTAGAATAAAGTAGTTCAAGCAAGAATAAAGATAAAAATGTATGAAATTATAAATAAAAACTTATTAATTTCTTATTCATTCATATAATAAAATCTTGACAACGCTACAACAAACATCATAAACAATCTGCAAATTTCTTGTTTATTACATTCATTTTTTAATTTGTCACATGTACTGATAAATTTATGATAAAATCAATTATATTAAACAATTACACTAAAATTAAGATGTAATATACAGTTTATATAATATTAATAATTTAATGATTACATATTAATCATTCATTTAATTTTACTTACTGTTACAACATTTTCAACTAAGAAATACTTCCTTAAAAGATTCTGCCAATATTTCATGTCTCTTTTTGCTAATTCATTAAACAGATGAATATTTCTCATTCTCTGTTCTAACTGAAATAATTAAACAGAACATTTTGAATTTCTTGTATATATTAAATAAATAAGTCACGTAAATGATAATAATTTATGCTTACCTCTTCTGTAGATTTGCCGTAAAGAAAGTCGAGAATAATAATTTCAATAAACATACGATGACAGGCTTTCTCTATCTAAAGCAAGAAAAAAAAATTAACTAAATTTCACATATAAATTAAAATAATTATTTTTAATTATCACATCATAAAAGATTTATAAAAAAAATTAATTATTTTTAAATTTAAATAGAACTTTTTATATTTTTTAACTAACCTATCTGAGGCAGTTAAGTCCTCAGCCTAACATTTTGGGGACCCAAAATTGAATATCAGCCAAAAACTCAGATAATTTTGTTATGGGCAGTCAAATAAATAACCCATGCTTCTCTATGCATTTTTCAATGCTAAAAACATCACAAGTTAATAAGTAAAAGTTACGGGTGTCTGAATGAATGTTGGTTCATGTCATTTCAGAGAAACAAGAAAAACAAGTAATTACTTATTGTAAAATGCTCACAATACTATGCTTCAATTTTTAATCACATTTTTAATTAAAAATATATGCTCTCCACCTCAAATTAGTAGTGTGATGACCCTGTACATCATACTTTTCATTTATCAATCGAGTCCTACGAATCATCTATCTAACATCTTTCGGGGGAAAAATTTTTGAATTGAAATAACATGTCTTCTGGTTTGCACGGGAAGTTCTTATATAGTTAACCGAGGCCTCCTGCCTCTAATCTTTCCATATCTGATCTCAGCTTTCATCTATCTAATTCTGTTCTTGAGATTATAGAAAGACAGACTGATGACTGGGAATTTATAGATCTACAATAAATTGCATCACAAAAATCACATGACTTTCCGTCAAGACCAGAAATTCATATCTAGATAATCAGGGCCTATAGCTCTAAGCTTTCCCTACCTAGTCTCGATTTTCATCTATCCACTCCATTCTCAACATTAAGGAAGGACAGATGAACAATGAGAACCTATAAATCTGCAATTTGAAAATTGCAGCCCAATAAATCACTAACATTCCAATATTCTGTTGCTTAAACCATAACTATTATCTTTAAATTATGAGGCTGTGTTTAATCAGTCTTTAAAAGTTAGCTACAAATATTAATAAAATGATTTATTGCACTAAAAATACTTCATACAAACAGCTATTTACAAAATATAATTTTTATAAAAATATTTTTAATAATTTCATTAATAGCAAAAATTTTTATTGTGGTAACCCACAATAAAAAGATTTTTAAAATTAACCTTAAAAAACCCTTTTTAAGAACTTTAATTATAAATGTGTGTGTGTGTGTTTTGAATAATAAAATGAATAATTCTTACGTCGTTTAATATATTTAATTTCGAATTATGTATTATCGTCAAAATTCTTTTCATATCAAACTCTTCCTCGCCAGTCGCTAGTTTGGTAAGAACTTCTAATAATCTGAAATAAATACAAATATTGATTTAAAGTATTTCATAATATCTGTGTTAAAATTTACAATAATCTGTTAATTCTAAAAATTTATTTACTGATAAGTAAATATGTTTGCTTGACTTGAGAATAGATGTTGTAAATGTGAAAATAAACTGAAATAGAGTGGTATTTTGTACTTCAAATGTCCCAGAGTTCAAATGCTAAATTCAAGAGAAATTCAGGGTGGAGTTTGAATGACATTTCTATGTTTAAACTGCACTCACTGCATAAACACCATCTGTCCTGTACCTAAGTTGTCTCTTGCTGTGAAAGCATCTTTTGCATTATGTTCATGTGTTTTCAATGCTTTTTATGCTTCATTTTTTGGTGCGTTTGGTTATATATATATAACACCTATCTATTAACCATTACATCCAAGAAAAGGGTGGAAGCAAGAAAGCCTAAGAGGAAGGTTTTAGTATCAACAACTGAAATGAAAAACTGAATTTATCACAAAGAATAATACAGTAAGTGTAGCATATCTGGTGTCCATGTTTAAGATACCGAAGTCAACAGTGTGCCACAATTTTTATTTTATTACACAGTATTTACATATTTTATTTATTTTTTTCATGTTTTAATTTATTGTTTAGAACATTTAATTTTGTTACTTTTTATATTAAATTTTGTCTATTTGCTGTCAAGTTTACCAAAATGAGTATTATTTGAGGGCCTGGGAATGAATTAATTCACTTTCCATTATTTCTAATGGAGAAAATTGATTAACTCTGAACATTGTTCAAATACAGTTCAAATACACAGGCCTCTGAGGATACATGTTAAGGAATTTGGTTAGTTTGAAATATGGCTACTTAGAAAATTCAAAGTGAAAATTCTGTCCAAACTGTGTTATGCTTATGTTAACTCATTCATTTAGATCAAAGTGCATCCATACTATAAGAGAACAACAAACCAAGAACAACTCTAATCTGGTCAACATGGTTTTGCCTTTACAGTATCACCTTACCCATGAACTACCCTTTTTTCACTTATCTCATAAAATACGACTAGGTTTCGGAATTGCAAGAGTGGACCACAAGCAGCAGATTGAGATATTTTTAGGGCTCTAGGCTACTAGAATTGGGCATATTACTGCTTTTGGCCACTTTTAAAATAATTTCGGTTATATGTTGAGGAATTCTGCTTTACTTTCTATAAAAGCTATCTGGCAACCTTTGAGGTTCTCACTGAACATGTACTGTTTAACTGCAGTTTGTTTATGTTATTATTATTAATTAATGAAAATAGCATTCTGTGTATATAGCCATATTCAGTTTGCTTAATAAATTACATCAGTTATGTGGCATTTGGTATATTGTACATATATATGTGTATCTTAGATATTTGAAGTCGTGATTATATGATTATGATTATGATAAATTCTCAATAGAAGCTTACAAAAGGAAATAGAATTTGATAAAATTAGCTTTTTCTTCACTATATGCTAAATAAATTGTTTGAAGTCCTCAATTAACATTTAAAATCAATGTTTAGTGAATAAAATATATCTTCAAATTCATGATTATGAAAATGGGGTGATTAATATAAGATTAAAAATATAAATGACATCTATGTATCTAATGTTGTTGTTATTTTAAAATTAAAATACAGATACAGTAGAGCGTCGTTCATCCAAAAATCAATTATCCGAAAAAATTCTAGTCCGCAAATTTAAATTTTCACTAGTGCTGTGGCGCTGCAATCTTTGGCTATGTCTTGGGCTACTCCAATATTTTTTATGTTTGTGTATATGTTTTAGCTGGCAGCACTGGCACTTTTGTGTGGTGTTTTTCTGAGGACTGTGTCGTGCCGAATTAAACGTTTTTGATACTAGATTAACTCCTAAAGTATTTTTTTTTTGTTTTTATATTTTCAATATATTTATTTTGTTTGTATAAAATAAAGAAATAATTTTTAACGATACAATAGCCACGATTATTATTTTAAAAAGTTTACGTTAGGCTTAACATCAACGAAAATTCAACGCGAAGCGACACGCAACGGAGAAAAATTTCAACATGGGATAGGTTAATATATTTTTTCGTACATAATCAGTTATCCGAAAAATAAGTTATCTGAACAATCCCAGTCCTCAATTGATTCGGATAAACGACGCTCTACTGTATTTCTTATACTTTTTAATTTGTTGTTGAAGTTGAACTATAATGTGTTTTTGCGTACATAATCGGTTATCCAAAACATCAGTTATCTGAACAATCCCAGTCCCCAATTGATTCGGATAAACGACGCTCTACTGTATTTCTTATACTTTTTAATTTGTTGTTGAAGTTGAACTATAATGTGTTTTTGAAGTCAACTATAATTTCATATGATTTTGTTAAAATCATATAAATCATTATCAAGAAATAAATTCATCATTTCAATAAATATAATGCAATAAATGAAAATAAATTATTAATACATTCATTGTTCAATGATCTTTATTTTTTCATTTAAAATTTTCAAAACATACTTGTATCACAAACAATCTAGAGGGTGTCCAGTAAATCTGGACCATTATTATTACCATTTCTTTCATTACAGGGAAACCACATCACTATGGAAGAACAAAATCAAGCGAATTTGATTGTGGAAATCCACAGTCACCAAAAAGTGGCCAGAGAATTCAATATGCTCCATCCAGATCATAGACCAATCATGTACAGATGTGTTGGTAAGCTCACTGCCAAAGACTGTTACAGAAGAGGAAAGCAGTAATAATCCTTTCTTCTTCTGTAATAGCCTTGGTGGTCCATTACAAGGCCTGTCATGGATGCTCCCAGATGAGCTTATCAATACATCTGTGTGTGACTAGTCCCCAGTCCGGATGGAGCCTATTAAATTCCCTGACCACTTCTTTGTGACTGAGTCCCCACCATCAAAATAAGTTTAATTCATTCCTCCACAGTCAGTGACATAGTTTTCCTGTAATGAAAGAAATGGTAATGTGAGAAACTCCTACAAGGTCCAGACTTATAGGATAATAATTGTTAAATTGTTACACAATTATTATCCTACAATTAACTAACCTACTAAATTATAACATATTTCTTTCTTAATTTGTAAAAATTAATAATATTTTATTATTTTTTAAGTTTTTCATAATGTTTCTTGAAATTAGTTTAGAGAATAAAAATATAAATAATAAAAAGTACCTTGGTTTAATATTATTTAACTGAACTTTCAAAACACATTCAAAATCCATAGAAATAAGTGTTTGTGAATTTTCAATTAAAGAAGCATTAACCTAAAATAATAATTTGAAAAAATTACAAAAGTTACTTTCACAAAAATAATTTTAACTTTATTATATTATAAACTCAAGCTTTAAAGACAAACTTATAATTAGAATCAAATTTCTAAACATATAAAATTTTAAAATTATTTATGATCAGACTAATTTATATGATGATTCAAACAAGCAATAATTTTACATTCGCATTTATATACACTGAAGATAATTATTCCTGCAGAGTCAGTATTCAAAAACTGCAATAATTTAATTTCTATCACTTAAAAATGTTTTATAATCTAGAATCTTTCTTGAAATCACACTTCAAATATCTAGAAGTAACAACTTGAATTTAGAATTGCTTCATTATATAATTTAATGTTTTATATATATATAAAATATGAAGTTTATAATCAAGTTTAAATTACAGTCATGCATCAGATAACATTTATTCAGACAGTGCCAACTACATATGTCCATAGTCACATGAAGTTATATTATTAAAGTAAGGAAAATTTTGGTGACTGAAAACTTTGGGGATGTTGGCTTAACCTAGCAGAAAAAAGCTTATTAAGAACTTTGCAATCATGTTTCCAAGTTCTTAAGCTTTTATTTGTGAATGCTGGTTATTTGGTTAATANTGTATTTCTTATACTTTTTAATTTGTTGTTGAAGTTGAACTATAATGTGTTTTTGAAGTCAACTATAATTTCATATGATTTTGTTAAAATCATATAAATCATTATCAAGAAATAAATTCATCATTTCAATAAATATAATGCAATAAATGAAAATAAATTATTAATACATTCATTGTTCAATGATCTTTATTTTTTCATTTAAAATTTTCAAAACATACTTGTATCACAAACAATCTAGAGGGTGTCCAGTAAATCTGGACCATTATTATTACCATTTCTTTCATTACAGGGAAACTACATCGCTATGGAAGAACAAAATCAAGCGAATTTGATTGTGGAAATCCACAGTCACCAAAAAGTGGCCAGAGAATTCAATATGCTCCATCCAGATCATAGACCAATCATGTACAGATGTGTTGGTAAGCTCACTGCCAAAGACTGTTACAGAAGAGGAAAGCAGTAATAATCCTTTCTTCTTCTGTAATAGCCTTGGTGGTCCATTACAAGGCCTGTCATGGATGCTCCCAGATGAGCTTATCAATACATCTGTGTGTGACTAGTCCCCAGTCCGGATGGAGCCTATTAAATTCCCTGACCACTTCTTTGTGACTGAGTCCCCACCATCAAAATAAGTTTAATTCATTCCTCCACAGTCAGTGACATAGTTTTCCTGTAATGTAATGGTAATGTGAGAAACTCCTACAAGGTCCAGACTTATAGGATAATAATTGTTAAATTGTTACACAATTATTATCCTACAATTAACTAACCTACTAAATTATAACATATTTCTTTCTTAATTTGTAAAAATTAATAATATTTTATTATTTTTTAAGTTTTTCATAATGTTTCTTGAAATTAGTTTAGAGAATAAAAATATAAATAATAAAAAGTACCTTGGTTTAATATTATTTAACTGAACTTTCAAAACACATTCAAAATCCATAGAAATAAGTGTTTGTGAATTTTCAATTAAAGAAGCATTAACCTAAAATAATAATTTGAAAAAATTACAAAAGTTACTTTCACAAAAATAATTTTAACTTTATTATATTATAAACTCAAGCTTTAAAGACAAACTTATAATTAGAATCAAATTTCTAAACATATAAAATTTTAAAATTATTTATGATCAGACTAATTTATATGATGATTCAAACAAGCAATAATTTTACATTCGCATTTATATACACTGAAGATAATTATTCCTGCAGAGTCAGTATTCAAAAACTGCAATAATTTAATTTCTATCACTTAAAAATGTTTTATAATCTAGAATCTTTCTTGAAATCACACTTCAAATATCTAGAAGTAACAACTTGAATTTAGAATTGCTTCATTATATAATTTAATGTTTTATATATATATAAAATATGAAGTTTATAATCAAGTTTAAATTACAGTCATGCATCAGATAACATTTATTCAGACAGTGCCAACTACATATGTCCATAGTCACATGAAGTTATATTATTAAAGTAAGGAAAATTTTGGTGACTGAAAACTTTGGGGATGTTGGCTTAACCTAGCAGAAAAAAGCTTATTAAGAACTTTGCAATCATGTTTCCAAGTTCTTAAGCTTTTATTTGTGGATGCTGGTTATTTGGTTAATATATGAAGCCTTTAAATCAAATAACCAGCATTTTCAGATCCTAAAAATTAAACTTTCCAGAAAATCTTGCAAAAAGTTTTTAATTTCCTAATTTAAAATAAATATTATATAATAAAATAAAAAAAATTATGGCAAATAGAAACAATTATAAACATTTTAATTAATACTGTTTGTGTACATTATCTTGGCTATTTAGTCAATACAGGTACACTAAAATACCCCACACAGTTATGACAAATATGTGTGACCGTAGGGTCGGCACCTCTTCGGCGCCCTCTCTGGATGACACCACCGAGTCTCTAAGGGACTCGGAAAACGCGACTTTATGTCACGAGATTCGCGAGCGGTAGCGTGTGAGCGCTTGGATTCGGAGCAGAGGTGAGGAGAGAGACGAGGAAGTGACTCACTCGGACTTCATATGTTCTAACAAAAATTCCATTTTAATAATAAACAAAGAAAATACAGAGATATCGGGCATATTAGCGGACTTAATTATACTATTCCGTTCGAGAGAGAGAGTTTACAACCGAATCGCGGGTTGATAAATACCTTTCTTTTTCCTAGGTCGCAGATCTNAACTACATATGTCCATAGTCACATGAAGTTATATTATTAAAGTAAGGAAAATTTTGGTGACTGAAAACTTTGGGGATGTTGGCTTAACCTAGCAGAAAAAAGCTTATTAAGAACTTTGCAATCATGTTTCCAAGTTCTTAAGCTTTTATTTGTGAATGCTGGTTATTTGGTTAATATATGAAGCCTTTAAATCAAATAACCAGCATTTCCAGATCCTAAAAATTAAACTTTCCAGAAAATCTTGCAAAAAGTTTTTAATTTCCTAATTTAAAATAAATATTATATAATAAAATAAAAAAAATTATGGCAAATAGAAACAATTATAAACATTTTAATTAATACTGTTTGTGTACATTATCTTGGCTATTTAGTCAATACAGGTACACTAAAATACCCCACACAGTTATGACAAATATGCATATAATATGGTATTCACACAATGTCATATTACATAATTCCTACTGTAAATTAGGAATTATGTAATATGTATCATGAATGTTAAACAACACACAACTGCATTTAAAAATTTTCTATTACTTTTGTTATATTTTTAAAATTACTTTAAAAAATTAATACTAACATTTAAAACTGATGATAAAAACTAAAACATCTTTCATAATATTATGTATTTAAAAATTTTTCATACTTACATCACTACAATATGGTTCTTCAATCTCTACAAATTCCCTTTGTAATGGAGAAACTGAAGTATTATGAAGATATTCCAGAAGTAATTCAAGAGCTACACATTCTTCAATTTCCTGAAATAGACATGCATTTTAAATATATATAGTAAATACACATTTGACAATACATATGTTCTTAACAGATTCTATATCATTATATAAATATTTTTCACATTTTTTTTTTATAACTCTTTACAGGCTATTTCAAAAACTTGATAAATACAAACAAAAACTTATTAACCAGTAACAGAACTTTACAGCAACTTCCGAATGTTTTTGGCCTTCACCAAGACCTGCCTCAGATTTTTAACTAAGCTGACTTCCAAACTAGAATGTTAGAATAAGGATGTTCGAAAAGTTGATTTTAAATTTTCAAATATCTCAAATTCACACAGCTGATTGACTGCTCAAATCTTTTATACAGATACATCCACGCATGTGCCACCATATCACAGTCCTTAAAGTTAATACAGTTGCTGTTCAGGTTGGCTTTATACATTTCCAAAGTCTCCAGGCTACAAGTATGGTCTGTTTGAAAGGCTTGCCTAATTAATCTGGTGTTCTGGAGGTCTGCATATACTTCCGGGTCAGTGACATACGTGGACAAGGCGGTGGTATCACTATTGTTTGCAAAGTCATATTAATGTTCACATGCTCTTTTACATATTGATTGTATGGTTGAGAAAATATATACTAAGTCCCTTTGGAATCTATCATCCCTTACAGGTATAGAGTACACTCCTGAGGCTCTACTTTGATCCATTTTATCTTTTGTGTTGCATAGCAACTTGTATATTGTACTGGATCTTCTGTACTGCAGGGGTGCACAACCTGCGGCCCGCGGGCCACATACCGCCCCCTATCAATGTTTATGCGGCCCGCGGACGGTACAGGTCAAATCCCTTCTTTCGAAGTTTCTAAGTGTAGAACTTTTTCCCTTTCATAAAGTCCTTAGCACCCAACTGTTTTATGACTTTCCCAGAGGTGAGAAATGGGGGATTGTTCTATAAATAAGTCTATTTTTAGCTAACACTTTCTGCTTTAGATATCGAATATTTTAAAATGATGTTAGAACGTCATTTCCGATGTTATCGGGAAGTTTCTATTTTGGCGGGAAATCTTCAATTTTATGCTTCGGAAAACTTGCCTATTCGTCTAAATAGCGTCAAATAACAAAAATAAGTGAAAATAGCGCTGAAAAACCATGAAAATAACGATTTTTTAGCATTTGTTTACATTCTAGATTCTGATTGGTATAGTCGAATTTGAATCAATCTTTTCTGAAAAGACGCTTATTCGTCAACCTAATGTCATTCAAACTAGAAAAAAACTAACCAGAGTTCAAAAAGGAATGTACAAAAAGCTATAAAACCAATAATTTACAACAATATCTCTCCATAGACAAAGAATAGAAAAAAAATTTTTCACATCAAATTTATTATTATTAAGTTGGACCAAGAAAATTAATACTGTAGTTGGAATAGAGTCATTACGACTAAAAGGAAGCCATTTGCATTAAAATATTTTGGATTTAATAATTATTACAAACCGCGTCAAGCCATAAACTTGTCAACAAAGAGGGTTGTAAAATGATTCCGTGTAGCTAGAAAGCTGCGGTTTTTTTTGTTTGAAAGAAAACAGATATATTTAGGTTATTTAAGTAGTAAATTAATTGGAACTTTTTATTTACTTTTATTTTTACATTCTTTTTTTCGTAAATTTAAAATTAAATTATTATTTTTAATTTTTATTTTATTTGAAATTTAACAGTCGTAAACTGTGATATATTTAGGACAGAAAAAAAAAAACAGATTGATTCTAGCGCCAATTTGAAACGAGATATCGCAATTTTAATAATTATATTTAAAATATTCAGATTTTCCACTGCACTGTGTTAATCACTTTTGATTCATTTCTGAACACGGGGGTAAAACTGACGGGCCATAAATATAATTTAGGTAAGAATGGTAACCACATTTATGATGGATTAGTGTCCTGCACCTGGCATGTTGACGATCTGACTCACAAATTCTGAGAAATGGTGGAGACGCCCGGACAGGGGTCAAACAAATTAAGACCTGCCTGGCCACGTGTGCGTAATAGTCTTCTGTCCCCGCCTCTTTAGTCTTTGGTCAGAGTGGATACAGAACAAAGCACGTGGTAGTCTAGCTTGCCTTATCTCAAACATGATTTGTTGCGGGCCTCAGAATTTTCGGCACAATGAGACATTGTTTTGCAGAGTGAACAGTATGGCGCCGGGCATTAAACGCAAGGTCAATCGCGAGAATCATCAGTTTCAAGAAGTGGAAGTGTGGACTAACAAGTACTGTTTTGTGCAACAGAACAACAGCATTATTTGCCTTTTGTGCAATGGAACAATAGCAGTGCCAAAAGAATTCAACCTGAAGCGACATCATGAAAGCCAACACAAGGATTTCCTTCTGCAAGGTACGGAACGCAAACGGAAAATCGAATCGTTACGACGATCACTAATCAGCCAACAAAATGTGTTCAAGAAACAATCTGGAGAATTGGATGCGGCTGTTGAAGCCAGCCTAGAAATATCTGCTTTAATAGCCAAGAATGGGAAACCTTTCACAGATGGCGATATGATAAAAAAGTGTCTTATCATCGCAAGTGAGATGTGTCCTGAGAAGACAGTGTTTTCAAACAATCAGTCTTAACCACATGACGATACAACAAAGAATCTCGCAAATTGCATCAGACATTTCTGGCCAACTTAATATTTTAGTTGCAAACTGTGCTTATTTTTCTTTGGCTGTGGAAGAATCCACTGACATATCATCAACAGCACAAGTGATTGTGTTTATTAGAAGTGTTTCACTAGATTTTATTGTGAATGAAGAATTTCTTGGCATGGCATCACTTTCTGGACATACAACTGGTGCTGACTTATTTACTAGTTTATTGAGCGTTTGCAACAAATCAGCACTGGACTTTGACAAGCTATCCAGCATTGCCACTGATGGAGCACCATCTATGGTTGGATGTGAGAATGGCATGGTCACCTTGCTGAAAAACCACCTTGGGGACAGGCAAAAGGAGTTAGTCCAGTATCATTGCATAATTCACCAACAGCAACTTTGTGCAAAGAAGCTGGGATTTGAACGTCTGCTGAAAGATGTATATGATACTGTGAACTTAATCCGCCGTCATGGACTCAACCATCGACTCTTCACATCATTTCTTGAAGAAATAGATGCTGATTATGCTGACCTGCCCACGTATACTGAAGTTTGTTGGCTGAGCAAGGCAGCAGTCCTCAAGAGATTTGTGGAGCTATTGGGGCCTATTATCACTTTCCTCTAATAACGGGGGAACACTACAAGGAATTTGGAGGAACAAAGATGGCAGTGTGATTTAGCTTTCCTTGCTGACATTACTTCTTATCTAAACGACCTTAATTTGAGATTGCAGGAAAAGATGCAACTTGTTTCTCAGTTGACAAGTAACATCAATGCATTTATGACCAAACTATCACTTTTCAAGTCTCACATGCAATCAGAGAACTTTACACACTTTCCACATTGCAAGGCCATGAAAGAGAAATACCCACATATGAAGATGGATTACTCTGACCAAGTTAACACCCTCCTTACATCATTCAATGAGAGGTTTGGTGAATTCCAGAAATACAAGATCTACCTGCAACTTTTTTCAACTCCATTTGATGTGAAAGTGGAAGATACCCCTCCAGATGTCCAACTTGAGTTGATAAACATCCAGTGCAGTGATGAATTGAAATCACAGTTTAAAAATTCTAATCTCCTCACATTCTACAAAGAACTGCCTGATACATCATTTCCAAAACTGAAAGACAATGCTCGATTTTGTGCAAGCATGTTTGGCAGTACCTTCCGTGTTTCCCCGAAAATAAAACACTATCTTATATTAATTTTTGCTCTGAAAGATGCACTAGGTCTTATTTTCAGGGGATGTCTTATTTTTCCATGAAGAATTCACATTTACTATTGAACAAAAAAATTCCCAAGTCGAACTTAGACGAGAGTGACGTATATCCGGTCATGTTGAACTGAACTTAAATAAAACCGAAGTGAACTTACAAAGTTCCGTTGGAGTGGACTTCCCACTCTTGCTTCAACTTAACCTTTTTATAGCGTCTACATCGGGCTCGATGACCAATTACTGCTTACTGAACCATAACACTATGCAAATATGATGTGGCGTGATTCCCGGCCGACCAATTAGTGATCACCAGCCATAACATTATGCAAATCTGTGATTCCAAGCCATAGTCTTATGCAAATCATGCCGTGTGGCGTGTTGTCTGCTGACCAATCAGTGGCTGTACTTTCAAAAAGCCAACGGCCACTTTCAACCTGCTGTCGATGACCGTTACGAGTAAAAAAAAAAAACTTTACTAGGTCTTACTTTTGGGGGGAGGCCTTATATTTAGCAATTCAGCAAAACCTCTGCTAGGTCTTATTTTCGGGGAAACATGGTATGTATGCGAACAAGCGTTTTCGCTTATGAATTTAAACAAGTGCAAAACACGGAACAGGTTAACCAACGAGAATTTGGAAAATCTGCTGGTTGTTTCAACATCTGCCATTACGCTAGACATCAAGAAGATTGCCGCCAGCATCCAATCTCAGCCATCGCATTAATCACTTGGAGGTCCGGCCCCCAGTCAGTAAATTTAATCCTAATTTGGCCCTTCTTCAGAAAAGGTTGTGCATCCCTGGTACTGCAACCATGCTTCTATACCCTTAGGGACCTTTTACTAAGCAAAAATGGGGCCCATCCACATTGTAAGCAGATTTTGGAGCTGGCACACCTCATGTACAATACCTCTGTATTTCAATTTAACAGCAGCACGTACTTACAAAAACAGGGTTTACCTATGGGCAGCCCCCTAGCAGGAGATCTATGTGAGTTAGGCCAAGACTCCACTAGCGTAAAAACGGGCATAAAAATCTTCTCTGTAAAAACTTTTAATCACATGACCTATTTGCATTTGCGTCTGGACTGCGGTGGAGGTCCGTCTAGTGAAGTTTTTATGGCAACGGTACTATTGAAGTTATAAAGACAATGCTTATATTCTACGAGTTTTTTCTGTAATACAATTACAAATGTAGTAAAAATCAAATCTTTACTTTCATATATTAACTTTTATTATCGTATTATTAATTAAGATAATATACAGCACTTATTAAGCTTAGATTTTTTCATTATATACACCTCTAAATTGAAGGATTTTCCTTTGGCCGTCCGTATCACATGATTCAGGCATCCATTTTTATAATCGGGATACTTCTTGTCATAGATACACGAATACTTTCGGGTGTTTTCGATAAATCTTTCCAGATCTATTCTAGAGTAGCCACGAGGGAACGTACACAAAAGCTCGTTTTTCGCCATTTTCGCACTGTGTCACAATGACCTAGATTTCACTGACTTCTGGTGGATGGTACCGTTTTACGGCCGTATTTGCGTCAAAAGTTGAACACTGTTCAACTCGCTTTTACGCTGGTTTTACGACCTGCTCAAGTGTAAAATATCAGGGTCGCGTGATTAAAAGCTTTTACGGCAAGGGGTTTTCATGCCGTTTTTACGGTAGTGGAGTCTCGGCCTTAGTGGTGTGACAGTTAGAAGACAAGGTCTTACTTAATTTCTTAGCAAACATCATGGTTTACAAAAGATATGTGGATGACCTGTTTATGGAAGACTGAGCCAAAGGTCAATGAGTTTTTAACATGCATGAACAACAATCTGTATGGTCTTACCCTTAACATGGATCAAATAAGTTAACTGTAGCACTCATTTCTTAGATGTCAAGCATGCGTCTCAATAGGAGCCAGGTGGAAATGAGCTTTTATTACAAACTGGGCTACTTACCACTATTCATCCTAGCAAACTCATCTGATCCCTTTTTGTATAAAATTGCCACATTCCATGCCCTAATCAGACAGGCCTTCACTCATCACACCAATATGCACGAGATTCTGCTGGAGCTACAACGTATAGAAGATATAGCGGTAGAACATGGTACATAGTTTAGCCCCTGCCTATGACACTTGCCACACACAACATTCTCAACACCCAGTCTACTTCTAACAGATGCCAACAATGCATCACAGGCTCCAGGTGCACCATAGTTCAGTTCAATCAACATTTGAACTTCTTATACAAAGATATTGCAGGCCAGAGTGATACAGAAATCATGTACAGGAAATCGAGTACAATATATAAGTTGCTATGCAATGCAGAAGATAAAATGGATCAAAGTAGAGCCTCAGGAGTGTACTCTATACCTGTAAGGGATGATAGATTCCAAAGGGACTTAGTTTATATTGGCTCAACCATACAATCAATATGTAAAAGAGCACGTAAACATCAATATGACCTTGCAAACAATAGTCATAACACCGCTTTGTCCACATACGCCATTGACCCAGAAGTATATGCAGACCTCCAGAACACCAGATTAATTAGGCAGGCCTTTCAAACAGACCATACTTGTAGCCTGGAGACTTTGGAAATATATAAAGCCAACCTGAATGGCAACTGTATTAACTTTAAGGACTGCAATGTGGTAACGCATGCGTGGAAGTACCTGTATGAAAGATTCAAACAAAGTCAATCAGCCATATGAATTTGAGATTTTAGAAAATTTAAAATTGATTTTTCGAACATCATTGTTCTAACATTCCAGTTTGGAAGTCAGCTTAGTTAAAAACCTGAGGCAGGCCTTGGTGAAAGCCAAAAATGTTCAGAAGTTGTATTAAAGTTCTGTTAATGGTTAATAAGGTTTTGTTTGTATTTAATTATTCCAGTAATTTGAGAAGGAGACAGTTATAAAAATTTGATAGCAGACTTTCTACTCAGAGAATACTAAGAAATCAATGTTAAGTAGTTAGTGTGTTTTAATTAGTCTGATAGTAGGCTCAATATAAATCTATCCCCATGGTTGGGCTCATAACTTTAATACAGATAACACAAAACATGTAAACTTTATTCTGCATGTTATGAAGGCGGTGTGTTTTTTATATTTACCTACTTACACATATATAAAGATACAGAAAAGAAAATTGTGTTAGTCCCTAACCATTTCTGGCTTGTCCAAAGCTGCAAAGTAAAAGAAGAGCAGCAGTGGCCAAGTCATTGAAGGCAATTTGGAATAAATAAATTCTGGCAACACATCAAGAATGTGTGACCAAAAGAGTGCCTACTAGGAGAATATACAATGGAACTGGCCCTCTCAGGAATTAAGCAAGTGGAGTAAATGTGGGAAACTTTACACAGACAGTCCATTGTTTAGGCCTGAAGTTTGACAAACTACCAGTACAGTAGAAACCGGTTAGACTGCTCCAGACAAAGTGGAGATGAATTTTGTGTATTTGTATAAGGAATATCCACTATATTACTGGTGATAAGAATAGAGAAAAGACACTTCATAAACAATAGGATGCATGCTTACAATATGCATCATCAAGAATATTGGAGCTAGCCACAAGAGTACACATGGACACAACAAACACATATGACAAAAGACAGAATTATTTTGTGCCTAATGAATACTATCTTAAACTACTCAAAATGAACATCAGAATAGTTATTTTTATTTGTAACTTCTACATACTACTAATGAGGTTACATTTCAAATAAAGAGAAAAAATAAATCACTATTACATTAAAAAAAAAAAAATAATAATAATAATAATTAACTAATTTCATAATTTCGTGTTTAAAGAAAAATATTTTACGATAATATATTATATAGATTTATTTAAAAAATTTCATTAAATAAATGATATTTCATTTCTGTTCATTAAAAATAACTTATTCCTTAATAAAAATAATTAATTATCAAAAATATTAATACACAATTAAGACTATACAAACGAGTCTTTCGATGTCCTTTCTCTAATAATTAGCCTCTAATAAAATGTCAAATCCATCTTAAGACTGTTGTTTTCCTGAGGTGCGAGAAAGGACATCAAAAGACTTGTTTGTATAGTCTTAACTGTGTATTAAATTTATAATTATAATCTTAGGTTACTTGCCTTTACAAGTGGTCCTCTCCATGCTAAAGTGACAATTCCATGCTCACAATCATCACATGGGTAAGGAACAGTTTTTACAATTGGCTCACTAAGAGGGGGGACAGGATTTTGCCACGGACGAGTAAATTCAGGAAGACAACCCTAAAATAATTAAAGATTTAAAATAAAATTGGCAATGTACGGTTAAAATTAAACCAAAACATCACATATAAAATAACCTATAAAATTCTATATTTTAAAATAAAAAGTTTATCTTAAAAATTAATTATTCTAATGTAAGAATTAAAATGCTAAGTTTCAAGAAACAACTCAAATTTTGTTTTTTTTTAAAACAAATAAAAATGTGCCTTAGTGCTGGCTATGGCTCGCACCTCAGTGCCCGGGTGGGGGCTCGCCCCCACACCTCCTAAAACTATATAACATCAAATACTCCACACTTGAACAGTCAAGTGGGCTACTCGAAGCTGACACAATCACATGGGCTAAATTGTTAAACATGATACCACCATTAGAACTACCTAGGTGAACACCTACCTTATTTCATTTTACTGGAATAGTCTATTTCTTTAACATGGAAGATGAAGTAAATATTAAAGAATTATACTGTAAATAAAATGCAGTTTTAATCTTTAACTAAAATTCTGGATTTAAATTTTATAAGTTTCAAAATCTACGCAACAATAAATTACTACAAGAGAAAAAACTTTCCTATAAATTCATCTTTTAGTATATCATTATTTATCTTTCAATAGTTTATTGGTGTTGTATGGCACAAGAGCCATAGAGATATACACATTATAGATATATATTACACAGTATAAATAAATAAATAATTATTGATTATAACTGCATGAACTATAACAATATTAACAAGGAAAAAAATAACAAGATATAAAACTGTACAAATAAACAACAACAGTATATAATAACAATAAAAAGATATTTAAAAGTAAAATATAAAATAATCAAATTAGTTTAAATGTATTAATAACTTTCAGAAAATCCAGCAGCATGTCAATATTTGGCTTCTGGACCAAAATTCCTGACAATCTTGCATTTTAAAAATGATGTCTACAAGTCCTCTCAAATTCAGAGAATTCTCACAGTACGTGTTTCACACTTAAGGCATTTTCCCCTCAAAAGACATTGATAAAGTTGAGCACATCCAATTCTCAAGCAAGCAATTTTATCATTCAAAAAACATAATACTGTATATAAAATAACCAAGACAACATGTCAGTGCTTGGAGAAAAAAATTCTAGAAATAAATGAGTGATCAATTGAATTAATTTTGATATCAATAATTTATAAAGAAATACTTAAAGTTCACATGGAGCTGGAAGAGTCAGCAGTTTAATAAAGAGTCTATGTTGATCTTAACTCACTATATTTCATAATTAGAAGCAGTTAGACAGATTTTACACGTAAGAAGATTAAAAGAACTGTATGAATATGATGCTAATTAACCTAACAGATCAATGCTAAAAAACTTTGAAATTGTCAACAAATTTCATTTGTTTACAATTTAAATTTTAAATGTGATCGCATTATCAACAGTTAAACCATTTCTAACTGATATTCTTACAAGTAGAAGGCCAGATGTTCAGGTCTCTGATGCAAACAAAATTTGGTAAGCATGTCACCCTAAACACAAACAACTATGAATAATAAGACCCATTTCTCAAGCATTTCCAAAAATGGGCTTCTGAAAATTGAGTGTTTGGCTTATAAATCTTTGGAAGTTTCTCTTTGCCTCGTAACAGCAATAGTCAAGTGGATAAGACACTAGACATTGGAGCAACATGATGTAGATTCGCACTTTCACAATTTTAGTTTTTTATTGTGTGTAACAAAATTATTTTATTTTACTGTATCATTAGCATTATTATTACTATTATTATTCCTTACATTTAAACTTATAAAACAAGAAATTTAATAAACCATGATGTCATTTCCTGTTTAGTGAAAACAAAGTCTCTGTAGATTTAACTCTTGTATGTCGTTAGTAAAATTTTTATTTCTTCATGTAATTTTCAGTTATGACGATATTATTGTGAGAATCTGAACTTTAACAAAAATCCGTCGTCAATTTCATCATACCTATTTGATAAGTGTTGTCATCTACTTCATGCAAACATCTCAATTTACACTTTCTTGACAGTAAAAGCAACGCTTTCTTGTGAGCCCTTGACCTCCCAGCCGTGCGTTACTAATTTTAGTATCATAATTAATGGCAAAAGGGAATAGTTTTTGTCCATTTGCACCATGGATATAGAATCCTGTGTCTCCTATAGGAACACCAAATATTATCTCCTGCCGATAACAGATTATTGTCTCCTCCGGTTCACCTCCATCTCCTGAGTCTCTGTCCAAGGAAAATTCCAACTCCTGTCCTGGATTAAACTTTCCAATGAAAGAGCAAATGATCATCTCATCTATAAGTGTCTCCTAAACCTCCAGGTATCTATAACAACACGGAATTTCATGTAAATTCTCTCTCGTGCAAAATGTGTCCATGTCACTCTCATATCCAATATCTAATTGTCTTGCTACCATTAGCCTGTAGATCTAGTACAAAAAATAAATGGGTATTTGTTTTTTAACCTAGTCTCTGAGTGTCTTGCTTCTAATGCTGTCTCACTCGCCTCCATCTGAATCCGATCACGCCATATGCAACTGCTCACATGACCTACTTTTAAACCCAACCCAACTTGCTGTCGTAGCTTCTGTGTCGCATGAGACATGGCGGTGTTGATCCTGACAAGGTGCCAACCCTCCAGTCACATCATTATATTTGAAGTGTAACAAATATGAGCACACAAGAAAATTGTTCATAACATTAAAAATTTAAAAAAAAAAGCTGCCCTATTTTCATATTAGACTTGTCTTCTTTTGTCCTTCCACAGTAATGTATGAAGCTTATTCACTTGTGGTGACATAGTATGTAACCACAAGCAAAAATATCTGAAAATAAATATGATGAAATGAAAATTTTATTTAATGACATATAAGATATATCTACAGAGACTTCATTTTCACTAAACAGGAAAAAACATCATGTTTTTAAATCTCTTGTTTTATAGGCTTTAAAACATGAGAAATAATAATATTACTATGACTCTCTTAAGGTAGCCAAATAATATTACTAATAATAATGCTAACAATATGATAAAATAATAAAATAATTTTGTTACAAAATAAAAAGAAGAACTAAAATAGGAAAGGGTCAATCTTACATTGTATAACTCAGTATGTAGTGTCTTATCCTCTTGGCTAGTACCATTACGGAGAAGAAAAACCACCAAAAATTTATTAGCTAGCTAAACACTCAATTTTCAGATGATGTTTTTCAGAAATGCTTGAGAAGTGGGTCTTATTATTTGGACAAGAAGTTGTTTGTGTTTAGTGCTATGTGCTCACCAAGTTTTGTTTGAATCAAAGACCCAAACATCTGACCCTCTTCTTGTTAAATTCCTATCCATTTAATGTTCAGAAATTAAAACTTTGCTTTTGATTTGCTGGAAAATTTCAACTGTAAATGATTTTAAAGCTGAATTTGAAAATTAATTCTTCCCAAAATGTTAAAATATTTTGCTATGATTGGCTAGAAAAAAAAATCAATTGATTAATGGTGATTTTAAAAACAGTATAAATAGGTGGTTTTATTCAAATTTCTACTTTCTAATAAAATTTTCTGCCTTTTTCATCATGTTGTAAATTACTGAAATTTTTTGTATTTTGAATAAGTAAAAGAAATCAGTTACAATCCTCTAATTATCATTAGATCTTCATTGCATTGCTAATTAGTAAATTAGCCTAATGAATTACATGTCAATGATGATATAGTGGACAATATATAATTATAAATACTAAGAAATTGGTGTCATCAAGATGAAAATATTGACTCCAGAGTTGAAATTAAAATCAGAAAAAAAGTAAAGTCGACTCCCCAATCCTGGCTTCACATTTATATTTTTAAAAAAGTGAATTTATAAACTAAAGTTTAGAAATTTTGTTTCATTGTTTAATAATATGTTATGATAAAATATATGAAGAAAAATAATTTCATCTAAAAACTTGCAAGTAAAAGATATAGAAGCATTAATTAATCTTATAAATAAAATATTGATAGCATATACTTGTTATTTATTTTAAAAATCTAATTTAAATACAGAGCCAAACAATTGTCATAATGTAACATATCAGACTATTTTTCTGCAACTATTAATAATAAAATATTAATTATTTTAGAGAGATGATACCTAATGCCTCTCTCTAAAATAATTAAAATATTAGAGAGGCACTTAATGCATCCCTCTAACACAAAATTACTGAAAATTTAATCATGAATAATAGAGAAAAATAGCCTAATACATTATGGCAATCATTTAGATTTGATTATTATCATCAGGTTTGAGATATTTATACCATATTACTTCAAATATAAGCTTCAGTAGGAGTTTAAAATTGGAAAAAATAAAAAATAAAAATGATTTTATATTTTATTGTAAGATTGCCAATGGAGGGTGGAACTGTTTGGGATTGACAAGGGGTCGAGAGAGACGCAAAGGTTGTAGAGTCTGTCACTGCTGACAGACTCTACAGTGACAAGAAACCATTTATTTAACATGAAAGGAGCTTATAAGATTTCTGCAATCTTGGAATTTTTAAGTCGGCAGCAGACTGGGGCTTCCTCTCCTTTCCAAGATAGTCTCAAAAGAAGGAGTGTACCTGGTTTGCGAATGACAATTCCCTCGACATCTCAAAAATTCCAGGACGATGCGGTCAACTTCCAGTGATGGGAAGATCTCAAGCCGAAGACAGTAGATAGAGACAAAAATGAGCACGAGACACACACACAACAACTGATCTGACACTTGGAACTTTCAGGAGAAGAAGCCGTCGCATCCTCAAATTCCTGGGTTTTTATTCATTTCCATTCTCAATCACCCATTCCGATTGACTGCTTTTCCTTGTTCTCGCTTTCCAAGTGGTTGACCACTTGTTACTATGTGTAACAAGATCTTAACTTAGATTGTGAGAGAGGTCAAAATCGATGTTTAATGTGATCTCCAACCAGAGATGGTCGATCTTAAGACTTACATTTTTCTTTTGTTTTAAAAGTTTGCATTTTTAAACAAAAAACATTATTTCTAGCTTCTATTTTTTTCTTTAAAAAAAATAATTTTAATGCAAATTTTAGTGAGGGTTTGAACCTATCCAGAGCTTCATATTATTATTCTTATTATGGGTATTAAAAATTAATTAACATTTTTATTTACTTAAATAAGTACTAAAATAAATATAATAAGCTATCTCATTTAAGATTAAAATGCAGCCAGATATGATACAATTCTACAAGTCTATTATCAAACAGCAACTGGATTGAATCAGAAAAGCATGAATGCAGAACTGCCGAATGAATTGCCATCAATGATCATAATATTATGTACTGTACATGCACAGAGCATAAAGCAAAGACCCGATTGTAGGGGAGTGGAAGATCAGCAGAAATAAGAAGTTAAAATATTTGCTTTGAATTTAAGCCGCACCCTAATTTTACGTCTTAAAAATTGGAATAAAAAGTGCAGCTTAAATTCAAAGTAATAAGATATATGCAATTTAAATTCAACAATTTTTATGAAATGAAATAACATCATCACATATTGAAGTAAATATATCCACTTACTTTTTGAATTATCCTTTCTTCTACAGGAGAAAGAGCTTTAAACACATCAGAAGCATTTATCTTTCCAATTATTGTTATGCAAAGATTTTCAGGTCTGTAAAATTGATTATGATATTCTTTTATCTGAAAAATAATTACAAAATTATAAAGGTAATGTAATTATTATTCTGCAACAAACATTGATTTTAAAAATTACATATAAAGTTAGATTTATTATTAATTTCATCAATTTTTAAATTATAACTTTGAAAACATTTTAGAAATACGCCCATCACAAAAATAAGTGAACCATTCTTAAATTATTTGTTTTCTTTACTTTTAATAGCATAAATTTCAAAACCTTTTACTTGATGCACTGTAGAACCCATTTAAGAAGTTCCTGCATGAAAGGTTTTCCTGCATAAGTAGTCCAAATTTTCCAGTTCCAGCATTTACACCATAAGATGTGCATTAAAATTTCCTGCATAACAAGTTTTCTTGTGTAAGAAATTCCGAAATATCAGTCCCAATGACAATATTTTACCCACTTAAGAAGTTTCCATTGAAGACAAATTGTAATCCTTTTCCTCATCATAATTTTATCACTTATAAAAACAATAAAGTTTGAATAAAGTAACTTTAGATATTCACCATAATGTATATCAAATGCCTGCTGAATCAGCAAAATCAGCACACCTGAAGTCTTATTGTTTTGACTGTACTTTCTATCTGATATTGTCCACTAACTGTTGTCATGCCATATTGACACCAGACAGTTAAGCATCTACAGTAAGTTCACCTTACTATTCTACTATATTACCTTAATATTACAGTGTTCCTTCAAAAACTTCTTAACAGAGTTCTACTATATACAGTAAAATTTCAAAATTATAAATTAAAATTATTGAAATTCTAAAAATGAATAATACCTTTTCGTTAGTGGTACTTTCTCTCAAATTTTTTAATCGTCCACCTGTCTCCGACTTATAGCCACATTTACCTGGATAAGCTGCTCTAATCATCTCTAAATAACAGAGGTTATCACCATCATTTTCATAAGATTCCATCTCACAGTAAACAACACCTGCATCTTTTCCTTCGCCATTAACATGATGCACTTCTGTTACAAATGCTTCATCCTAAAATAAATTTCAGCTTTCAGAAAGAATATATAATTTTCAATCATAAATTTAAACTTCTAAACTTTCAGGCTACATTATGCTAATTTTTAATTAATTAAATGAAAAATTAGCAACCTTTAAAAATTTTCTAAATTGTTTAATTAAATTCCAATTAATTTGGTCATATCCGACATGAACCTAATATGGCTCCTGTGAGAAAAAATTCTGTAAATGAAAGTGGAAATAACAAGGAAGAGATCATAACTTAGGATAACCAAATTATAACGATATATGGGAGTTTGAAATTGCAAGAAATGTAGCCTTAGATAGGGTAGAATAGAGAATAACTCAGAGCTTAGTCCATATAAATGGGGAAAAAAAATTGAAGAGAATAAGATATTTAAAATGAATTTCCAAGTATTGATCTTAACACAATATGGTGATTTAATCATTTAATTTTAGTTCAAATTCCATAATTTATTTAATTAAAAATTGATGTAAATATAATTAAAAAGCTAGCAGTTTAAATTTATAATTGGTTAATCCATTTCAATCACTGTTTATATCTAAAACTTTTAGTAAATTATTTCATTATGTATATATTTGTTCAACAACAACAATAAAAATTATATTGAAACTTCCATCATTTGGACAAATATATAAAATTTCTCAAGTTTTACTTCATTTGATATTAAATTCAAATTTTAAAATTACATTAAAAAAATGTACATTAACATACAGTATATTTGTCATTAAAAAAAAAAAAAAACTAAAATATGGTAGTGAATACTTACAGTAAGAAGTGGATATAGCACATGATCCATATAAATAGGTAATAAATTCAAAAATCCTTCTGGTCCAATAGTACTCATCGTGTAACTCGTATAGTCGACGGCAGTAAAAGCATTTGTACTTGAGGCCAGGCAACGATTTGCTAAATGGTCCAAGACACCCTAAAAGTGATTTTAATTATTATTTAATAAAACTTAAAGATAGTAATGAATTTAATTTTAAAACTATTCAGGCAAACACAAAACAAGAAAAAATTATCAGTCTTAAGACTACAAAAGTAATAGAAAATATCAGTTGCTTCTGTAACAACGGCATAGAAAATAAAAGATATTTTATCCTGTTTAACATATTTCTTCAATTCCAAGATGACCTATCAATTTTAACCTGTCCAATGTTGAATATTTTCTCCGTCGCGTGTCGCTCTACGTTGAATTTTTTTTATGTTAAGCCTAATGCAATCACATGTTTTAGAAAAATAATAATTGTGTCAATTGTATTGTTCCAAATTACTTTATATTTTGCATACAGAAAATAGACATATTAATAAATGTAAAAGCAAAAAACTTTATTTCAGAAATTAATTCTTGTATGGTAAATCTCAAAGCAACAAACAACACATAGTGGAACGGAACATTGTTCACACTAGTAATGTGATTCTACTCGCTATTTGTTCGCCGAACAGATTTTACAAACTCTGGTTGGATGGTTTTTTTTTTTTTTCTATTGGTCATATATGACTAGGAAAATATCATTCGGATAAATGCAATGGATTTTCATGTGATGATCGACTGCGGTGGGTTACATGTCTGCTTGTGTGAAACTTTTCCATGATTTCTCTAATTACAGACATAAGAAAATCAAGAAATGATATTTGTTTTTTGTATGTTGTCAATACAGAACACAAGCATTATATAGTGCAATATCCAGCATATAAAAAAAATATTTTTTTTGCACCATTTCACAGTTTTTTACATGCAAAGATAAATTGTGTATCACTCAGCACACAGATCAATTCCACCCATATTATGATTACATTCTAAAACACAATTCGGCTTCATTATTATATCTCCTGATCTGTTATGATTACCAGAATTTGAGAATTTGTTCTTACTCATCGTACTTAATTGGCACATTCCTCTTATCTCTAACAAAACACAAACCATCTTTCTGACAGGTCATAAATTCACCTTCCTTCAATTTATGATCAGGAAAATTGCATGGAATTCCAATTCAATTTTTGTTCACAGTTCCATATACATAGGTCTGTTTATCCAGAAGCATTTTTGCTAATGCCGGCAAGGTGAAAAACCTGTCTACAAAAACCTTGTAATGCTTACCGAGCAATGGTTCTAATAAGGTAAGCATAACTTTCTCACCTTGTCACTTTCAAAATTTCCATATTATGTTGTAGCCCCCATGTAAACTAAAAAGTCGCTAATTATTGAATTTCGTACAAGTAGTGACATCTGATGTTAAAAAAAAAAACATTCCTAAGCAGAAATGAGATATCTCTGGTCCATCCATCGAGGTCAGAGGTAGCAACCCCAAGAATTGTCGGGAACAACACGAGACAGGTTAAAGTGCACAAATTTTTTTAAAAATTAATCTGCAATGGTGTAAATTTTTAAATTTAACCTTTGAATTACTTACAACTTTTATTTTGATCAAAATACTAAATGAATACAATATTTATTTACATCCCACAGAGCTACTTCAATGCTGTTTTAATATATGGAATGTGTTTTTTTTTTTTTTTTTTTTTCAGTGTTATACTGTAATGTAATCCCTTTCAAAATATTTAAATTAAATTCAACATTCATAGTATATCCAATGCATATAATTGAACTGGCAAATGAATGAAAGAATATAATGAAATTAAATTTGCTCTCTTGTAATAAAAGATACAATACTATTTGTTGTACTGCAGTTATTAAACTGGAAAAATTTCTTCTGATATCAACTATATAATGCATCCTGATTTCAGCAACATTGTGACTAAATTTATGTTATAGAATCAAGGAAATATAATACATATGTAAGAATAATAATACATAAGTATTCCGAATGTTTTTTTCAGAATACACATTAGCATCAAGTGAATAGAACTGTTAAATATTAAGTATAAACTAGTATAATATAAACTATTCAGGCAATTAGAAAAGTGGAATATTAAAATTTTCACTTTTCTAACTATAGGAAAACAAAACTGAGCTATGGTGTTAAAAACTAAAACCATACAAAAAAAAACTTTAAAACTAATCTAAATCTAAAATGAAAAATTGTCATAGAGATCAATGTAATCGACAACAATCGAACACTTGACTGATACATATTACGCAACCAGCTTACAACCACTTTCGATGGCAAACTTTGACCTCAATTTTCAAAACACCGGCTTCATCGTGACATCGGCCTTGCAAAGTTGTACATATTTGCAAAAAATTATGTTCGTTGGTCGTGCGGTTCCTTTAAATTTTGATCCAAACAAAACACTTTGACTTATGCAGAGTTCCGCTTACACTCTGCTCAATAATTTTAAAGTATCAATTACGATCCTTTCTTTATCACAGAATATGATGACTTCTGTATACTACCAACAAAGTATGCTTCATATGTGCTAGTCAGTTGAGATCTTGGAATTATTTTATGCAAATTATTAATGTGTAGATTAAGGTTTTCTCTTCTGTTAAATTCTCTAATCAGATTAAGACTAATTGCATTTCACTGAAGTTTGTATTATGGTAAATTTAGTACTTTTAATTCTTTTAATTTGTGCCATTACTAAGTGTAATACTGCAAACCAGCTAATTCTAATAGTTTTTTCTTTCTAATCTTTTAAATCTGAACTATTTAGTTAAACTTTTTACATAGTAAATATATCATAATTACATGTTAATAAATTCAATTTTTAATAAAATATATATTTTATAATTACCTTGAAAGGATATAGTTCACTACCCATAAATGTGAGGTCAATTGTATTGTTCCAAATTACTTTATATTTTGCATACAGAAAATAGACATATTAATAAATGTAAAAGCAAAAAACTTTATTTCAGAAATTAAAGTTTTATAAAATGTATATTTATTTATATGAAATTAAAAATTCTAAATACTAAATACTGTAATTAAAATAATCCTCATTGATTATTATTTATAAACTTTTAATGCCTTTAAATTAGTTTTTGAAATATGCGGTAAATGCTTGTTAATATGAATTCCGACGGGCATATAAGTTTTATTTGACACGGTGTTTGAATTATCAGAAATGTGTTAAAAATTCAAGAATTATAACTTTTATGAAGAAGAAAAACAAACCGTTTTTTTATTTAATTTTTGATTCAATAAATAAAATTTGCCTCCGAGTTAATTCAATGCATGCAAACTCCAGAGGCAAAGTTTGAGTTGTTAGTGCCAATGTACAATGTACAAAATGCTAATTATACCTAGCAAACATGACAGATTCTAGTACAATAGTAGTTTTAAATTTATAATTAAATATTAATTCATTTCTAATTTAACCAAATAACTTAAAAAATTAAAAATTATATAAATTAGACGTGAATTATTGGTAAAGAAAATAGTTTTAATTTTATAAAACTATTCATCTAAACAAGAAAATACAGTCAATTCTTCCTATTTCAAAACAAACACATAATAAATGATGCTATAAATATAATAAATTTTTATTATTTATCAACTTCATTTCACTTTTATGATTTTTTTATCATATTTATGTCATATTGACTGAAAGACCATAAAAATTTATACCTATTTTACCAAGTTTATTATTAATAAAAGCATTGTAAAATGATATTAGAGTTCTAGGACAATGAAGTTAGCATTCCAGGAAAATTTTATTAAGGACATATTTATTTGTAGACATCATTTATAGTTCATAGTGCAATTTATTTTTGTTTGAATTAGTTTGACAGGTTTTAAAATTCTGAATTAATTCAAGTTCTATAATTGTAACATAAAATGGGAAGTGATAGTATAATTTATGAAATTCAAATTATCTGGCTTTAAGTTAATAGACATTTACTATATCTGATTAAATTTCACAACAAAATTTCAACTTACGAAATACAATATTGCTAATAAATTTCAAGAAGTCACCTATTTATTATAATTATGTGTTTTTCAAGACAATTCTTGTCTTCTTGTCAATATTGAAAATTGAACACACAAGGTCTGTCCCAAAAGTTTCCAAACTTTCATTAAAACTCACTCTGTAAGGTAATAATCATAAATTTTTATTTTAAAATATATCTATCCCTCCCAAAGAAATACAATATTTACAACAGAGCTTTAGAAAACTCTGCTGAAAGTCTTCCTTTGAGATGGTTGAAATAGCCTCTGTCAAAGCCTTCAGAATACTGTCAAACTGCTCTCCTTTCAACTTCAGAAAGAAAAAATAGCCACATGATGCCATATCTGATAAATGTAATGATCAAGAACTTGGACCATTTTTGAAGTGAGAGAGTAGCATACAGCAATGCATTTGTGAGCTGGAGAATTTCTTGGAGAACCTGCCTTGTGTTCAGTAATTGAGGACAAGCCTGACTAAGTCTTGCAAGCAAATAATTCATAAACCCAAATAATAATCTCTTACACAATAATGTATTAACTGCTTGACCTGCTGGAATGAACTTATAGTCAATCTTTTGTATACAGTAGAGCGTTGATTATCCGAAAGAATTCCAGTCGGCAAATTTAAATTTTCGCCAGTGCTGTGGCGTTGCAATCTTTGGCTATGTCTTGGGTACTCAAATATTTTACATTTTTGATACTAAATTAACTTCTGAAGTATAATTTTTTATTGTTTTTATATTTTTCAACATACAGTTGACTCCCCTATAATGCGAATTCCTATAACGTAGATTCCTATAACGCGGCAAAAAAATTGCGACAATATTCGTATAAAGACGCTAAAAGGAACGCATAAAACGCGGTAAAACGTCATCGCCAACTCGCCATCGCGGACGAGCAGCCGAACTACTTTCCGCCATCCAACACCACACTATGAAGAGTTTAGGCGGGCAAATTGAGTTTACTATCGTCTGTAGAGTATTATATATAAATTAGGTACTGTACATATAATTATATATTAATTATATATAAATTAGGTACTGTATATATAATTATATATTAACTTAATTTATTTTAACTTTATTATAATTATATATATACTTTCCACTGTCTAGCGCCATGCTACAGAGAGTTTAGGCGAGTAAGTTGTTTACTATCATCTGTACAGTATGTAAATTAGGTACCGTAAGTCTAATACAGTACTGTAATTTTATACATTTCTTGTGATAGAAACATTTCTTAATCAACGGCCATAAAAATTATTTATATTAATGATGTCTCCAAAATTCAATGAAGTTTTTGCATAAAAATAACATCAGAAATCGCGGCCGCAGTTTGGTGCGCTGGTCTGCGATGAAAACAAGCTTAAGCAATGCCGACGTCGAACGGTGCACACTCGGTAAGTGATCCTACAATTTTTTGTTTATAGCATAGTTTATACGGATTATTCCCAAAAAATTATACGTGTTTTGGAAATGTTAAGTCGAATTAGTCTAGAATCGATTAATTTTATGGAAGAAAACCTTTCAAACAGCCGTAGTCCGTAAACTTCACACGTGTCGGGCTGTGATTGGCTCACGTATTTAAGGATTCCTACAACGCAAAATTCGTATAATGAGGAATGTTTCTCAGAGTTATAGGGAGTCTACTGTACTTATTTTGTTTGTACAAAATAAAAAAATAATTTTTAACAATACAATAGTCTTCGTTAGGCTTAACATCGACGAAAATTCAACACGAAACAACACACAATGGAGAAAAAATTTCAACATGGGATAAATTAATATATTTTTTCATACATAATCGGTTATCCGAAATATTGATTTTCCAAACAACCGTAGTCCCCAATTGATTACTAGTCATGTAGAAATTTTCTGCCAATACATAGACTGCGGTCAACTGATAATCGACGTTCTACTGTAATTTAATCGGATAATCGACGCTCTACTGTAATTTCATCTATTCAACCAGTCAATGGTCTCCTGCTTACTAGTCATGTAGAAATTTTCTACCATCATGAAACTTCATGGACGTCTCATAAACTGATGTACAGGATAACACTTTGTCTCCCCATAAGTCTTCTGTAACATTGCTACTGAACATTTTTCCCAATTTAACACAAAATTTGATATTTGCTCATTTCTGCATAACAATTTCTGTCACAAAAGTATTGTATTTGTTATTCCTATGGTAAAGCAACCATCAGAGGGGCCTTGAACAAACTTTTAGTGTAATCTTACAGATGGTGCCACTAATACTATCCATATGAGGAGAGTTCAAAAACTTGGGATAAACTATATTAGCATAGACTATATAACAGGGATGGCCAATACATAGACTGCGGTCGACTGGTCGACTGCAAAGGTTTTGAAAGTAGCCCGCAAAGCTAAAGTTGAACAATTTGCTTTCACTTAAACGAATGTTTAAAAATCTTAATTCAATAATTTATTCTAACAATAATAGACTGTCTGTGCAACGTACCCATACTGTTTGTATTTATCCCAATGAACAATGCAAATGAATGTTAACGCATGCGCATATAAATGGCAATCACATAAAATGGCACAAAATCATGTGTCAGACAGTAACGTGACATATTCATAGTCACTCGCAGACTATATTTTACCGAAAAAGTAGCCCCTAAGGGATAAAAGTTTGGCCACACCTGCTATACAACATACAGACCAACTATCTCCTATGTTGTATAATCATAATAAATAGGTAACTGCTTGAATTTATTAGCAACACTGCATTTTTTTTAAGTTTAAGAGTCATTAGTTTCAAAAGGAATTAATATTATAATTAGATATCTTAGAAGAAAATCAAAATTTCCAATAGTATGTAGAATAACAAATCAGAATATGAAGAGGATGGTGCAAGAAGGATGTAAGTCTACAAATGAGTGATTTTGAATTATCAGTGATTTTGCCTCTGTGCATGTATTCATACAATAGAAATATATGCCATGTATAATTGAGAGTTGTCATAAGCATTCAAAGTTTACAAGTGTGGAATAAGAGTATATACTTCTTACACGCTTGTGGGAAAGTGACAGGATAAGAAGGGTACAAGTCCATGAGCATATACTATTGTGTTGCACTGAAGATAATGTTGCCAGATTTTCAAATAGGAAAGTCTTGCTGTTCAATGCACCCTTATAGAACCTTGTTTTTCTTTTTACAATAATTCAACAGGTAAAAAAACTTCCTGGAAATATTTTCTACCTAATTACACATACTAAATAAATATCTAAGGGCACTAAGAAGGCCTCTTTATCTGTTTAGTATAATGTTGGGATTATTTTTCCAATTATTTTCTCTATATCCACAAGTTTCTGGAACATGTTTTTCAATTCTGCCACCCGAGGGCATACGTCTTGGCAGCCATTAAGATACTGCTAGTTATTAGTGTAAGTGTGCAATTTTTTGTTTTTCATTGGTGACATGCCTTATAAAACCAATTCAGGTAAAAATTGGACAGTGGTTGGCTGCCATAATGGTCAGAATGTTCTTTATAAGTGGTTTGAAACTGTATGCAATGTACATGTAAACAAGAGGCACTGATATTGTCCATGTATTCAACCATTCCGGTTATATTCATTTCCATGTGATGAAAATTTATGAAGAGAATGAGTAACCAGCCATGCATTTACATCCAGCTAGATGAAGAACTTTGCCATCATAAGATAAACAAGTCCATACAGAATTATTACTTGCAGATAGGGTTTGTGATGGCTGTATAGTGACACAAGTGTTTTGTGACAATTTATTAATTAAAATTTCACCTACTTTACCACTTGGAAAATAATTATTAGAGTCAAGACTTATAATTAAGCATTTCTTAGTAACCATAGACTTTACTTTTAATAAGATATTCAAATGTTGCTGGATTTTCCAAAA